GCCTGATCTGGGTTTAGGGTTTAGGGTTTAGGGTTTAGGGTTTAGAGATCTGGTTAGCAGCGGTTAGCAGGCCAAGAGGGTCTGTTCGCATGCAGGGTTGCTGAGGCTTTGGGGGGCTAGGGTTTAAGGTTTAGGGCTTAGGATTTTGGGTTTAGGCCCTATCAGCTCCAGGGTTTAGGTTTCAGGGCTTAGGGTCTTGCGTTTAGGGCTTAGAGTAGGGCGTGCTTGCAGTGCAAACCTGCACACAGAAGTCTTACGAACACCCCATGAAACCTGAAAGCAACCGAACAGACAAAAACACAAACAGAACTCTCATGGGAACAAGAGCACAGCAGAATAACATGCATCATGATCCGAAACCCGTAATCCTACTTTTTGAGCACTGTAACCCAAACGTTCTCATTGCATGGCATACTTGTCTAGAACTGCCGAACTTTGAGAAGCCCAGTGAACCTGCACAACTCATGCACACACTTGGGTAGTTGTCAAAATTATGGTCCCTTTTGGGGTACCCTAAATAATGGGTGCCGTACTATAATAAGGACCCAAAAAGGGACCATAATTTTGACAACCACCCACTTGGTTTGGTACATCCCTCTTGTGTGCGCCCTAGTAACGGGTTACTGTACATGGGATCATACAGCCATTTCTGAATAGAGCCTAATAGGCTAATAGCTAGACAACTGCTTCCGGATTTGGGCCTCTGGGATATCTCGAGCTTGAGTGGTTTAGGGGTTGCCAAAAGTCTCCATGGCAGCGCCTTTCAGGGCTTCCCTTATACTTAAAGGATCATGGGACTTAGTAATTGGGGTCATAACCAAGGTAACTATACTTATCACCCCAATTAGGGGACTTATACCCATACTTACTAAGTCCCATGATCCTCCAAGTGGGCTCCCAAACATTAAGATACCAAGTTGGCTAAACCAACAACGGACCTACAATGGGGACTGGGTACACAGCCTGAAGTTCAAACCCTTCGTCGCTATTTTCCAGTGTAAACCCAGTAAGCCCTGAACCCTAAACCCAAAGCCGTGGGACGTCGGAGGGGGCGTTGATGTAGTTTTCCAGGAACTCGTCAATGATAGACATCCGGAGTAGCTTCTGCCTGCACCAGCCCTAGAAACACCAAGATGACTTTTACAGTATCGCCAGTAGCCCGGAGCTTTTAAGGTTTAAGGTTTAGTGCTGCAGCTACAGTCAGTGGCCTGAATCACCGAAGCCCGTAGCCCACAACCGCTTGACAAGTAGTAGTGGTCGCAGTAGTAGCAGCAGCAGCAGCAGGAGTAGCAGCAGCAGCAGCAGCAGCAGCAGCTGCAGCAGCAGCAGCAGCAGTCTTACGAGTAGCAGTAGCAGGAGAAGAAACAGCACCAGCAGCAACAGCAGTAGCAGGTGAAAAAGCGGCAGCCGCAGCCGCAGCAGCAACAGAAACGGCAGCAGCGGTAGTGCAGCAGCAGCAGCAGCAGCAGCAGCACCAGCAGCAGGTGCAGGTGCAGGTGCAGGTGCAGGTGCAGGTGCAGGTGCAGGTGCAGGTGCAGGTGCAGGTGCTGGTGCTGGTGCTGGTGCTGGTGCTGGTGCTGGTGCTGGTGCTGGTGCTGGTGCTGGTGCTG